CACCCGCGGTGTTCCTGAATGCCCCCAGAGACCGGAGCAGAGGCTTTGAGGGGAGTTTCTAAGGCTACGCCAGTCCTCTCCAAGGCCCCCTTGCAGGCGTCCTCGCTGTCGCCAGCTTAAGAAGGCACAGGGCTTCGCGGGGGCCCCGTGGGGCCACGCGAGCATGGGCGGGCAGCGTTTGGCGAAGGGTCTGGAGGAGTTTCGGCCGGAAGTCACGAGTTTCCCGGGATTGAAATTGGAAGAGCTGCTAAATATTTCGGAAGACCTGCCCAGATCCTCGCCTGGCGGGCGCTGGCCTTGTATTGGCGGGCGCTCCTTGGAAGGCGGTCGGGAAGGGGCCGTGTCAGTCTTGGGGGGGAGGTTGCCGAGCGGCGGTCGGCGATGTCCACGCCTGGGGTCGCGGAGGCCCCGCTGCCCGTGCCTGCCGGCTCTAGGTGCCCGCAGCTGTAAAGAGCGGGGGGGCATGGGGGCTGGGCTGCTGCTTCACTTGGTCGAAAGCAAGCGAGGTCGCCGCGCCCGTCTGCAGTGCGGCGTCCAAGTGGCAGAAGCGGTGGAAAGATATTGGGCCATCGCCATGGTCGAAGGGGCCGTTGCATGAGGTTACTGCACGGTTCCGGGGAGATGCGATAGGCGGAGACACTCGACCTTCCATGAGGACGGGAAGCTTGCTCGCCCTCGCTGAGAGGCCCGCCAGATCTCCAGAGCCCGTCGTCCAGGCCAAGCGGCGGCGCTGGGTGCGCGGCCAAGGCAAAGCCATCGAGCACGTGGGCACTCTGGCTGTACCTGATGACACAGACGTGGACATCACGCCGGGGGCTGGCTGGTCCAAGCTCCACAAGCGCCTCGAAGCCATTCGGGGCCTCCCAGGATCAGCCGCGACCAGATCGCGCGCTGTGGGCGCATGTGCGAAGCCCCTATGGCTGTGGTGCTGCCTGTTTTTCTCCCTGGCGCCGCCCCAGGCCACGGGTGAGGTGATGAGGGCCGTCTTACGGACGAAATGCACGTGGTGGTGCAGGGGGCGCTTCTGGGCCCTCAACTTCAACCTGCACCCAGTATTTACCGCGGTTCTCACGGCGATCGAGAGGATCACGACGTGGGACCTGGAGTAGAGCTATTTCTTGAAGCGCAATTTCGAGCAGTACCTGGATGCCGTGGGCCTGGACTTCCTGACCTTCCACGAGGGCCGCGGCGTCCGTTTCGGCCTTCGTGAACAAGAGCACGACCACCGAGTCGTCCGGTTTTTTGGTCGGCGCAAGACCTTTTGGAGCGACGAAGGGGACAAGGTGGCGCACATCCTCCGGCAGATATGCCGAGTGCGCGCCCTCTCCCTCGCCAGACACACGGAACGATGCTGGAGGCGCCGAGGAGGTCGACGTGTCGGCCCTGTCAGAGAAGCCTTGGCAGACCTTTCGGGATGCCTTGCCGGCGGAACGCTATTCAAAAGTGCATATTTTCATGTGTGTAGCGACCTCATCGCCAACCCAGGGGCGCCAGTGCACAACGCAACGGTGTCCTTATTGTGGCGAGGAGGTGTGGCCTAGCTTGCGCCACCTCGTCTCCGAGTGCCAGAGCGAGTCTTTCGGCGATTTCCGGAAGCAACTCAATGCCCTCTACAAGATCGCGCCCTCATAGTGGGGGAGACAACCTCGAGTTACGACTTCGTCGGGATGGATTACTTTCCAGGCGCACGCTTCATGTAAGCGGCGCAGTGAGCTCATGGTCGCAGTCGTGCGCATGGGCTTCTTGGTCCTTGATGCGCTTTGGAGTGATCGTTCGCATATTTCTCAAAGAACATCTACACTTCCCTTACTTCGTGCTATCGTTCTTCATGCTATTCGATTTCTTCCTCCTCCTCAAGTTTTCCAGGTTTTAACCTACGATCGGTTGTTCCTGCAGTGCACCTAGACGACGGGGGCAAGTCCAGGGCAGGTGCGGGTCCATGCGGGGGAAGAGCCCGGAGGGCCCGCGCGTGGAGGGAGAATGCGAAGGTGGCTCTGAGCCTGAAGAACCCGCAGGGCCCGCGAGTGGAGTGCAAGGCCTGGTTCCCCAACGCTTAGGGTGGCCGAGCTGGGGCCCCTGGCCTGGGGGGTCGGGGCCCCATGTGGGGGAAGCGGCGCAGGAGGTCGACCTTTCTGCGGGCGGGGGCCAGCCAGTCGCCCCTCCCGCGGTCCGGCGCCGAGTGGCACTTCCCAAGAGCCTGCCTCGCCCGAAGAGTCCGGCGGGAAGAGGGGGGAGTGGGCGGGGGGTGGCCTTGGGGCCCTGGGGAGGAGTGGATATGGTGGGCCCCCTCTGAGAGCCCTGGCCGCTCAGCCTGTGGTGGGCCTCCAGCCCAGGATCGGGAAGGAAAGCAAGGTGCGCCTGCGCTACAGGGTGGCGGCAATGAGTCCTCTCCATGGGCGTCAGAGGTATGGTGGGCCCTTACCTCTCGGGTTTCGGAGTGCCTGGAAGGCGGGAGGGCGAGGATGCGTTTGTGAATGGAGTGGTGCACTTGGCCTGTGCCTGGGCCGATCGGAGGGGGCGACCCGCTCCAAGCTGATGTCGATTCGCTGCCGCCAGAATGCTGCGAGCTAGCCCGACCCGCTGGAGCAGGCCGCGCGCGCGAGGCTTGCTCTGCCCAGGATCAAGCGGATGAGCGCGCAGCCTAGCCGGAATGACTTGGGGGCCATGCAGATGCGGGCCTTGCCCGAGGAAGAGGCTGGGCGCGGAAAATCTTGAGGATGCCGCCTGGTGGGCCGCCGTCTCGGTGGCCTTGTTCTGCCTGCCGTGGGCGTCGGAGTACCTGGGGTGGGGGCAGCGATCCAATGGTCCTCGGGCCCAGGACAGAGCTCTTTCCGGGGATGACGTCGCGCCCCGGGCCGCTGGGGCGCAGCATGGATCCAGGGGGCGGGCGAGACGGGCCAGTGCAACTTCGGGGGCTGTTAGAAACGCCACTCGACAGGAAGCGACCCGTGCCCGATGTAGGCCATGGATGGCTTGGTGCCTGCCCTTGTTCAGGGATGTTAGCGGTAGTTGACTCGTCGTGAGGGCGTGGCGAACCTCCTTGGCAAGGCAGCACCGGAGGTCACGATGTCCCCCTCCCATGTCGAGAGCCGCTCCCGGCGGATTGGGCTTGCCGTTGCCGCGCAATCCCAGAGTTGCACTTAGCTAAGGAGGTTTGGCACGTGGAGATCCGGCGCTTTCGACGTATACCTGCGAGGGGCGCGCGGGCCTCCGACAGAGTTGGTTGATTTCCTGGCAGACCACAAACGCCAGATGACCATCGTGGGCACCGAGAGGCTGAGAACATCTAGTCCGAACGTTGGAGGACAGGGGCACTCGGAGGGCCCAGCTCAGGCTGCCGGAGGGGGCCTCGTGACCTTCCTGGCAGCAGGCGAGGCGACGAACGACGCGGCCAGCGCTGCGCGAGTCGAACGCCCTGCCGTTCTGCTGCAGTATGTCGGCCTGGCTGGGGAGTGCAGTGCGCAGTCTCTATGCAGTGCCGAAGAGGGTTCGGAGGTTGATGGACCTCCCACCCTGACATGTCGATTAGCGAATTGGCCGTTTGCGGTTCGCGAGAGGGCGTCGCGGCCGTCATTTTTGCGGGTCCAGGTCCGTCGGTATCGGTCCTTGGCCGTTTTCACTAAAGGGTGGTTTACTAAAGGGAGGTTTGTCCACCGCCGAAGGGTGCGCGCTAGCCGCCCCCGGCCATTACCTGAAGCCGTTCAGTGGCGCTCAGCGCGCCGCGCGCTGGAAGCGGAGGTTTTTTTCTGCGAGACCAACTGGTTTGGTGGGAAAGCAGCGCTTTCCCGTTATGAACTCTCGCGTGCCTCCGAAAAGTTGGTGATGCCCGTCCGCTTCGGAACTCCCTCTGGGTGTAAAAGTTTTCGATATTGCAATCTATTTGTTTTCCAGGTTTATTTGGGACGTCGTGTTTTTTTGCGGGTGGCGATGTGCCGTCTCCTCTCCTTTCTCCTTCTGGTCTCTCTGCAGCTATCTGGTTCAACGTCGACTATCCTCCCGTCCACCGTGTACATTGTATCGTGCATGTTTTTTGCCCGCGGGTGGGGAAGCAAGCGCGCGCCCGCGCGTGCTGAACTTTCGCGTGTCATGAGCAAATTGGCCGCGCTCCTCGGGCTTCAACCCCCCTGCTGGGCTTCGAGCTTCTTAGCTTTGCTATCTGCCTTGTTTGTGTAGTTACTGTGGGTGGTTGGGATGGGGACTGCACCTGTGATGGAACCCTTGAAGCTGAGTTTTTTTTTTGGGGGGGGGGAATATATTGCCTGATATTTGTTTGGGCAGTCGTTGGTCGACTGACCACCCCCGCTTTTAAATTTTAGAAAGGGCAGTTGGATCGGAGGTTTAAGCCTCGTGACGGTTTCTGCTTTACCAGAGGTCCCCGCCTATGACTTTCAGAAGATTAGAGGGATCCCTGGTCAAGGATCGGGGTGTTCTGATGATGCGGATCTGAAGTTCGAGGGGCTGGGGTTGGATGAGTGATGATGGAAAAGGAACATGATGAACAGAAGGACCTGTAACTTGGAAGGATGAGCCCCCCAGTGCCCTGCATTGAATTCGCTAGGACCGTTGAATCGTTGTGCGATTGAAGAGTCCTTTGTCTGGTTTGTATCTGTAGCATTGCGCATGACGATAGAAACCATGCGGTTCGTTGTGCTGCGATCGTGTTTGCACGTGCTTCCGTTTTCGTTAAAGAGTGCCCAGGCTCCATGGTTTCAAAAAAAGCCTGCTGGTTGCTGTGCTTGCGTGGGTGCCGCAGGTTCTGGAAAGGATTGACCCGTGGAGGAGTTTTGGATAAGTACCGGGTCAGACTGAGGGAACGAATGTGTGACATGAAACATTAGAGACAGGACTCAAACACATCTTTGCGGCTGGATGCTCCCCCGTCTTCTGCGTAGTCGTCGCAGTCAGCTGGCATGCTCAGGAACGCCCAAGGGAGATTATGCGGGAACCAATCAAAAACCAAAACAGGGATATACAAAAGGCTGGCGGATCTCACATATTGGAACGCGTTGTTGCTCGGGCAAGCGCCCTTTCAAAACATGCAGGAGGAACAGCGGGGCGGAACGTGGGAGTTCTCGCGTGACAGGACTGCTTGCAGTATTGTTGAGAATGGACAGGATCGCGCGGAGCCATGGCGGCAGCCGTGGATCCGGCCGTACGCCGCGCCGTGGGGGAGGGATGGTGGAACACCATGTGCGACTTGATTGCGATCTCCTCTTCTCGCTTCGCTGCCTCCTCTCCGGCCGGTGGTGTCTGTTAATGTGGACAGCACCATCGGACTCCGTCTGCCCTCCTGGGCCCCGTGTGGACCTGGTTGTCAGCAGTGGTGTCTGCAGAGGTCTGGTTCCGCCCGCATGCTGGTGCTTCTGCCGGGCGTCTCGGCTCCCAGCCCACCTCGAACACAACACTGCGAATTCGTTGTAAGGTTGTGGAAGTTGATTAAGGGATAGGAAGCGTGCTGCCAAATAATTCGCAGATGCCAACACAAATTTTCCAAACCTGTTTTATATATGTAAACACTTGTTTGAAATTCAATGATAGGGTTGTTAGAGTGTCCATTGTCATGACATCCACAATCGTGAGGAGTATCGCGCTGGCAGGTGCATGAGTGCCGGAGTGCCTTCAGTCACCCACCGCTTTGGATACGTATTCTCTTGGATTGTTGTGTGATCGTCTCTGTTCCGCAGGGGCCGTCTGTGGGCAGCCTGGGGGCGTCTTGAGCGCATCTTTTGGAGTCCCTCTGTGGACCCCTTCGAAGCGTCTGGAGCTCGTGCGGGGTCCCCCTAAGGCCGTCTTTGGGGCGCACGGGTATCACCGAATGCCTTATAGAAACCACTTTCGTTCAAGCGAAGTGGGAGAGCGAAACCCCGATCAGTTTCCAACGTGTTCCGCCCCATCCGTGGACAGGTTTACTTAAAAGAGGTCCGACTCGGCGTTAGAGAAGCCATTCGCGGTGACCGCGCCTTCGTTGTATTTTTGCATGGCTTGCCAATGGGTTCGCGCACGATTTTACCAGTCGGCCTCCTGCTTCCTGGGGCTCCTCTGGGGCCTCTGGATGCCTCCTCGGAGCTCCTCGGGCCTCGTGGGACCTCGTGGGATTCTTGGGATAAGACGTGGGCTGCAGCGAAAGCGTATGACAAGGTGAAGGATGAGGGATACAAAGGGACACAAGTAGGAGTAGGAGTAGGAGGAGGAGGAGAAGCAGGAGGAGCAGGAGGAGGAGGAGGAGGAGGATAAATGTGGGAAGATTGCATCAGAACGAGGAAGAAAAGGAGGATCGCCCGATTGGGAGGACGAGGATGAGGATGAGGATGAGGATGAGGGGAGGAGGAGGAGGAGGAGGAGGAGGAGGAGGAGGAGGAGGAGAAGGAAGAGGGAATACTTTTCAATCACCTCCCTCCCAGCAGGATGCGGTCGAACAGGTTTCTTATCCTTGCCTGCTTCTCAACCACCTGTTTTCCTCCTCATCTCTCCTCCTCCTCCTCCTCCTCCTCCTCCTCCTCCTCCTCCCCCTCCCCCTCCCCCTCCCCCCCCCTCCCCCTCCTGCTATCATTACTGCCCCTCCCGACGTTCTTGCTCCATCTCCTCCTCTGGCTGCCGATGCTCGTCCTTTCCTCTGCCTTCTCCAGAGCATCTGGAGGGTATCGCGCGGTGGCACACGCACATCCAAATACGTGGACCTTGACCAGGGTGCCACCTGGTGGGTGTGCGAGTGGCATAGAGGTCCTGCGCGGCTTGGGCTGGCGGAGTGGTCTCGCGCGCCTGATGACCCGAAGGAGGGGCGACGGAGTTCGGACGTGCCCTCAGCCACCTGTGACACGCTGTATCCTCCCGCCCTCCCCTCCGTGCTACTTTTTTCCTCCCTATCCTCATCCTCTCTCATCCTATCCTTCCCTCTCCTGCCCCCCTCGTCATCCTTCCTCGTCGTATCCCCTCCGTCATTCTTACTCGTCCGTCGTACCCTTTGGCGCTCAGTGATCCACCCGTTGACATGGTGTGCGAGGGATCGCCAGGTCGCCACCCTGAGAACGCGGACCCATCGATTTTCCCCGCGCCCCAATCTTTTTTTTTTTTTTGTTGTTTTTGTTTTTCCTCTCTCTCTCTCTCTCTCCCTTTCATTTTTTTTTTCGGGGGGGGGGGGTCCCTCTCTTGTATCGTGTTCTCTGTCTTTCTTTCTTTTTTATATTCCTCCTCTCTCCCTGTGTGCCTCTCTCTCTCTCTCTCTCTCCCCCATCTTTCTTTGTGTCCCTTCTTTCCCTCCCTCCCTCTGTGAATTAGTACATTCATCATCACATCACCGGCAGCATCACTCTAGGAGGCGAACTCCCCGCTCTTCCAGGGCTACGACCCAGTATCAGTTCACGTGTGTGCCCTCACTGAGGTTACAACCGACGATCTCAGCATCGAGCCGACGTGTGGATCAAATCCAACCTACGAGGTGCGGTGGACCTTCTGCGTTCTCGGGTCCACGACCATCGCACATTCACGGGCGGAGTGCCCTCCCTGATGGCTCCCACCGAAGAGTTCGAACTTAAGCCGACGCATGGACCATAGTGACAATGCGGGGTGCCACGGAACTCCTTCGCTCTCGGGGCTACGATCTGTTGCACGTTCATTGGTGGAATCCTGAAGGGTTCGCACCGAAGAGCTCTAGTTCCAGCCAGCGCGCAGACCATCGTGAAAGTACAGGGTACGACGACCCTCCAGCGCTTCCAGGGCGACGATCTGTATTAGATTCTCCAGATTTTCAGATCGATTGCAGTCCCTCCGGATTCAAATAGGACCGTACTAATTCGAGCGTGCGGGCGGCTCAGGCGGAGCTTGCCCTACGGGTTCCCGCCGAAGAGTTCGAACCTGAGACTTTACCTGGACGGTGAAGGCCACGCCTTCGGTCATAGCCAGATTGGCGCCACGGTGTATGGTCGGCAGGGGCTGCCCTGCAAAGCGTGAGCGATTCACGACGCTCCGCGTGAATACGGCACGCTGGCTCTCTCTCCGCGTTTGCTGTCGCTGCTGCTTCCCCTCCTTTCTCCTGCGCATTTCCTTCCTCTTTCTCCCTCCCCGCACTTATCTTCTTTCTCTTCCTCGTCGATCTTCCTATTTCATCTTCTCCCCGCTTTTCGGCTGCTCTGGCAGCACTTGCGTAGAAGTGGATCCGCTGTCTGTCTGCTCATTCATCGCCTCGACGGTCAATCCTTTGCCCTTCGTTAGATTTCTACTGGGCCACATCCCTATCCTACTCCTTTCCTTCCTTCGCCTCCTTTTTTACCCTCCTCCTCCTCTCAGCCCCCCTGATCCTGCTTCCTCATCGCCTCTCTTCCGTTGTGTCTGGGTTTCTTTGCCAAGATCTCCGCATGCTCATGGGATCCACTTGCGCGTCGAGACATTGGCAACATGCTGAGTGGGTTCGGCCCGTTTCGCATGAGACATCGTCGCAAGTCTGCGTTCCGAGACGACCAGATTTGACATGGTCCAACCCGTTCTTCTGGGCTCCCTGACGCTACGCGAGAGGTGGTCCGGCCCTTGCTTCGTCCGTTTCGCTTGAGACATCGTCGCTACGCTAGGCTTGAAGATGCCGCCCGCGAGGTGATCTGGTCAGCTTGGCCTGAGACGTCCCCACAATTCTTTGCAAAGAGATGCCGCGTGCGAGGGGGTTCAGCCAGTTTTGCATTAGACGTCCCCGCGATTCCGAACCCCAGGCTCCGAGGTGCCTTGACTTGAGGTTCTCTCAGAGAACCTCAAGTCAAGCCCGACGGGCCAGACTGGCCCGCTGGGCTTGAGACATCCTCGCAACTCACACCTTTGGGTTCCAAGATGCGGTTCGCGAGGTGCTCTGGGCCGTTTCGCCTGAGACATCCCTGGGTTCCAAGATGTGGTTCGCGAGGTACTCAGGCCCGTTTCGCCTGAGACATCCTCCGCACCCTAGGCTACTGCGAGATGCCCTGAATTGAGGTGCTCTGGCCCGCTTCGCTTAAGACGTTCTCACAACTCTGGATTCCAAGCCGTGGTCCACGATGTGCTCAGGCCCGTTTCGCCTGAGACATCCTCGGAATCCCTGGCTCCGAGATGCCCTGACTTGAGGTGTCCCGGGTGTGAGTGCGCCACGCTCGAGGGCTCCATTGACGGAGTTGTGGCTGAGGTTGCCTCCGGCGTCGGGGGAAGTTGGGGACCGATAGAAGGTGACAGGACATACGACTGGAGGGTTCCAAAGGGGGTTCTTGGGGAGGGAGTTTTCCAGAGAGCTCCCCAGGGGCCTCGGAACCTCGTCAAAACAGGGGGTGCGAAGCCCCTGGGGGATCCCTCCTGGAAAATTCCCTCCCCAAAAACTCCCTTTGGAACCCTCCAGGACAGAAAGTGACAGGACAAACGAGACGTCGCCACATGCATTCGTTGTGTTGTGAGTCCTGTCGTTCCAGAGCTGCGCCTCCTCGCCCGCCCTCCCTCTCCCCCCCTCCGATCGCCTTGCTCGCTCCTCGGAGGGGCTGCTTCGGGAAGAGAGGTGGGCTCCGCGCGTGGGAGTGCCTTCTCAAGAATCGCGTCCTTGGAAGAGTGGAGCGGGGGATTTTTCTGCGGGATCTGGCTTCGGGAGCGCGGACATTTATTGTTTGTTCACAGTGATCGCCACACTCTGCGGCTCAAGCAACCCGAGAGACCGCCACATTCTGCGGCAGTTTTTTTCTGCAACATTTCCTGTAAGGCATCCAGCAGCCCAGCCAGCTTTCTCAACACTATGCGTGAAGCGATCTGCATCCACATCGGGCAGGCAGGTGTTCAGATCGGGAACGCTTGCTGGGAGCTTTTCTGCCTCGAGCATGGCATCCAGCCTGACGGGCAGATGCCCTCCGATAAGACAATCGGGGGTGGTGACGATGCCTTTAACACATTCTTCTCGGAGACGGGTGCTGGCAAGCACGTTCCGCGTTGTGTGATGGTGGATCTTGAACCCACTGTTGTCGACGAGGTCCGCACTGGCACTTACCGCCAGCTCTTCCACCCCGAGCAGCTGATCTCCGGTAAGGAGGACGCGGCCAACAACTTCGCGCGCGGCCATTACACGATCGGCAAGGAGATCGTCGACTTGGTCTTGGACCGCATTCGGAAGCTCGCCGACAACTGCACTGGGCTCCAGGGGTTCATGATCTACAACGCCGTCGGCGGAGGCACCGGATCCGGGCTCGGTTGCCTGATGCTGGAGCGCCTGTCGGTGGACTACGGCAAGAAGACCAAAGTCTCCTACACGGTGTGGGCGTGCCCCCAGGTCGCCACGGCGGTAGTGGAGCCTTACAATACTGTGCTGTGCGTGCACTCATTGCTTGAGCACACGGACGTCACTATCATGTACGACAACGAGGCATTGTACGATATTTGCAGGCGGAACCTCGACATCGAGCGCCCCACTTACACGAATTTGAACAGGTTGTTGGCTCAGATCATATCCTCGCTTACTGCGTCGCTGCGCTTTGATGGCGCGCTCAACGTGGACATCACAGAGTTCCAGACGAACCTGGTGCCATACCCGCGTATCCATTTCATGCTCTCGAGCTACGCACCGGTGATATCTGCAGAGAAGGCCTACCACGAGCAGCTCTCTGTGGCTGAAATCACCATGTCCGTGTTCGAGCCCTCGGCCATGTTCGTTAAGTGCGACCCCCGCCACGGCAAGTACATGGCTTGCTGCATGATGTACAGAGGCGACGTAGTGCCTAAGGACGTGAACGCATCGGTTGCCACTATCAAGACGAAGCGCACAATACAGTTTGTTGATTGGTGCCCTACAGGGTTCAAGGTCGGCATCAATTACCAGCCGCCCACCGTTGTACCTGGTGGTGACTTGGCTAAGGTGATGCGCGCTTGCTGCATGATCAGCAACTCCACGGCCATCGCGGAGGTATTCTCCCGCATCGACCACAAGTTCGACCTCATGTACTCCAAGCGTGCGTTCGTGCACTGGTACGTCGGCGAGGGCATGGAGGAGGGCGAGTTCTCAGAGGCCCGCGAGGATCTGGCTGCGCTGGAGAAAGATTACGAGGAGGTCGGTATCGAAACCGCCGAGGGGGAGGGCGAGGAGGAGGGCTATGGCGACGAGTTCTGAGCCAGACTGTTTGGCTGCAGCTCTGCCGGCGCAACCTGGCCATCGAATGATCTAACATGGAGTCCTTCGACAATCCAATTACGATTGCCACAGGTTTGCAATACTCAAAGTCACGGGCCAGCCCTGCCAGAGCAATCGTGCCACCATATTGTTTCAATTACGGTGGCTAGTTCTGAGAGGAGTTCAGTCCAGCGCGCCCACGTTTCTGGTAACCTACCTGTTTGTTGGTTTCCAGGTATGAATTCGCAAGGACCTGCAGCATAAGAAAAGTTGGTTCACAGTGTGGCCTCGCCAGCGCGGGCTGAAACTCGTGGTTTCGGCGACGCCCCTACGCACTTTTAAATCGGGATCGTGGCTTCGAGTTCGGGTACGGGGGATCGTGGCCTTTGGATCACGGGTTCGTTGTTTTTGCAGAAAAGGTCAAGCGTCGGGAAGTCTGATGCATTGTTCCCGAATCAGAGCTTGCCTCTGTAGGAGTCCTAGCGGATTCATATGGTTAGGTGAGGTATGGCGCCGATTTCGGCGGCACGTCCGGGTGCCTGGGTGGCCAGGTGCCCGGGTGCCCGGGTGCCCAGCAGCCCTACAGCCCTATAGCCCTGTAGCCTTATAGTCCTACAGCCCTATAGCCTTGTAGCCCTATAGCCCCATAGCCCTATAGCCCTATAGCCCTATAGCCCCATAACCCTATAGCCATGAAAAGGTTATGTTTTTTTTTGTCCAGGATCATTTTTTCTACGTGTCCCTGAATTCCCGAATATTCCGCGGACGTAGCTTTGAGTTGAGGATATCCCAGTTTCGGGCCATGAGGGTGTCGTGCACATGCATCGAACATGCAATCTCTCCGCGAAACTGAGACGTTCAGTGCTATGGGATCGTGTTGTTAAGATGTCATGATTGCCGAGTGGCCGAAGTCTTTGGAAAACTTCAGTGTTGCGAATTGTTTCATTGCGCAGATTTACACACTAAGATGCAGATTTGCTGAAACCTGGTCCTCGCAGCCTGATGGCCCCGGGGGGGCCGCTGGACCCGGGACATCTCGAACCACAGGGATGGTGGGATTCCGCCTCCTCGCGACCCCTTCGCGTGAGAGCGGGAGGAGGATGCTGATGGGGCGGGATGAGGTCGACCTCGGGTGATTCAGTCTGCTGATCACTGCCCGGGGGTGAGAATCACAGTGGCGACGCTCAGCCCAACAACTGGGCCGCTCGACAGCCCACAATCCGCACGCGTCACAGGTAACCTCCAACCCTATCTGAAGCACCAAAACAGGAGAAGGAGAAGGAGGAGGAGCACGAGGGGATGGCTCTGAGGAGGGGGAAGAGGAGGAGGTGGAGGAGGTGGAGGGGGCTCACCCTCACCACTACTGCGGTGCCAGCTGTCACACAATGCTCTGTCTTGAATACCCTTTGGCCATTCTAGGGTCTGGCCGGGCGCCTCTTTGCATTCATGAGCTCATCACGCTCCCAGCCCTCCTTGGAAACTTTGAAGTTCGCTTACAAGGTGCCCAGCCTGGCCTCTCAAGCGAAGTCTTGGTTTCTATCAGATAGCGTATCCGCTGAAACCAACACCCGGTGAGATCTGCGATTCTTCTTCCATTGTGGACGGTTTGATTCCTGAAATTGCCACTCTAGGCCGACGTGTATTCGGCCTCCCCGAGTCCATGTGAGCCATGACCTCCCAGGATTCAACGCCCATTCCAACTTGAGGCTCGCTTCGTATTTTGCGCGACTTCATGCCGTCGTGAACTGGAGAGCAAGTGATATCGTCACACTCATGTTGTATGAGCTCCATTGTACACTTCCCAACCTTAATGCGAAGAGGGACGCGGCTTGAGGGGAGTGCAACAGAGCGGTCGACTGAAGCAGCGGATTCTAAGTAGCTGACAAAAGCGCCTCTTGGCGGGCACTCCTCCTATCAAGTGTGGGTGGGAGGCTCTTTGCCGCGTCAGGGAGGATGGCCGCGAGCTCCAGAACCTGTCCGAGGATTCCTCTTGCCTTCCTGTCATGGGAGAGAACTATGATGGGGAGGAGTGCGAGGGGGAAACGAAACAGGGGGGCAGAGCTCTTGTTCCCCTCCTTACATCCCGAGTTCTACTTGCGTCCATCGGAAGTCTATCATACCCCCCTGCGTTATCCTCATTGCTGCACGCCGCGTGCTACAAGCCCGCGCGGGTCCCTTCAAGTAGACGTTGGTGCCAAGCTGTCGTTCTGTTGGCATTTGCCCTCCCCTTTTCGCGAGGAGCTGCAAGCCGACAGAGAAATCGTGCTGGCTGCAGTGCGGTCACATGGCGCCGTTTTGGTGGGACGGGTCTTTTTGGAGTTGGGATTGCTTTACTCAGTGAGGCCATGCCCTGCCCACAGGATCCACATTGTTTCGAGCCCCGCGCTCTCGTGCTCTCAGGCTGAGTGAGTTTTGACTGTGCGAAGGGACCTGTGCATCGAACAGTTGCCAGACAACGTCCGCACCAGGAGGAAGGTCGCATACTTTCACATGTGCAGTCTTCAACTTTGCTTTACACGCGTGTGCGGAGTGTTGTCGCCAGTGGAACCTATTCCGTCTTTCATGTTTAGTGTGCCGAGTTGCCTGCGGCGGAAAGATCTCATTCAACTGTTTTCTTATTTAATCGCTTCGCTCATTCCGCCGGCCCATATTGTCGCACCGTTGTGGGCTAGCCGAGTTTTGGGGCCTCTTGGGGGCCGTTTTGGGGCCTCTTGGGGCCTCTTTTGGGCCTCTTGGGCGCCTCTTGGGGCGTCTTGGGGGCCTCTTGGGGGCCTCTTGGGGCCTTTTTGGGGCCTCCTGGGCGCCTTCTGGGGCGGAGGGCTCGATTTTTCAGTTCTCGGTTCCCCTCTTGAGCCCCTCTTGGGCCCGTCTTGGGGCCTCTTGGTCCGTCTTGGGCGGCACTTGGGCCGTCTTGGGGGCCCTCCTGGGCCGTTCCGGGGCCGTCTTGGGAGCCTCGTGGGCCGTCTTGGAGCGGTCTTGGGGGCCTCTTGGGCCGTCTTGGAGCGTCCGGAAGCCGAAAAAGCCAGAACGCAAAAAACATAGAAAAAACAATGAAAATCAACGATTTTGGCCTCTTGGGGCCCTCTTCGGAGGCCTCTTGGAAGGCCCTTGGGGCGTCTTGGAGGCCTCTTGGGCTGTCTTGGGGCCCTGTTGGGCGTCTTCGGGCGATCTTTGGCCGTCTCGGGGCCCTCTTGGACCGTCTTGGAGGCTTCTTGGGGACCTCTTGGCCCGTCCTGGGGCCCTGTAACAGGGCTCCGGCATCTCTGGCCCGACCTTGCCGGGACCTTGCCGGGGTACTTTTCGTCCGGGGACCCCCAGGGGCCGCCCCGCGCGCGCGAACTAGAAATACTGTTAACCAGGTACCGGAGATCTTAGCACGCCCTGGCCCGTTGGGCCGGCGAATTCGACCCAAGCTCCTTTCGGCGTCCTCACCATCGCTGTCCTCGTGCTCGTCGCCGTCGTCCTCGTGTGGCCAGGTAGGGTCAGTGGATTTGCTCCCTGGTGGGTCAACAAAACATTCCGTCGTGCCCGCTCGGGGCTGGTGCCTCCCAGGGCACGGTCTCTAGTGCCTATACCAGCGCCGTAAATGAATAGGGCAAACGTCAATTTCTCTTTTGCTGTATCATGCACACCCTAGCGCCTGATGCTTAGCGTCCTTGTGAAATGTGAGTACGCGGGCCACACTTCTTTGTCGTGGACGCTCCAGTACTGCGAGCAATACCATGGCGACTGCAACCATCGCCTGCCACTGGTACTAACACCAGTGTCACTGCTACGAAAACTAGTGCTACTAGTGGTATTGCGACTGGTAGCATTAATGCCATTTGCACTACTACCACTATCACCACTACTACCATCACGCTACGACTGTTACCATGACTACAATCCGTACGACCAGCACTACGCCGATTATTAGTTGGACCATCGCTATTATCACGACTACCAGAGTTCCAAGTAAGGACTGGCGGGTGGCGTTTTGGATCTGGTGTGGGATTTTGCGAGGCGCCTGGTGGAAGAAAGCGACCGCAGAGCCGAATGGTGAGTGTGGCACCTCAGGGAAGGCTACAGGGATTGGGAAGGGTGAGGAGTTTTGCCGGCTTGCCGTTTTCAAAGGTTTCGGGTCCGGTGTCTTGAACCCCAGGTCTGGCAAGAGTTTTAGGAGAATCAGTAAGTTTGGCTTCTTCGGTCCCTGCTGGGGGTCCTCTTGTGGCCCTCTTTGGCCGTTTTGGAGGGCCGTCTTGGGGGCCTTTCGGGTTGTCTTGAGGCCATTTTGGGCCGCCTCGGGGCCATCTTCGACCATCTTGGAGGCATCTTAGGCCACCTTGGCGGCTTTAGTTGCCTGCCTCGGCCGTCGTGGAAGCTGGGCAGCGAGGTTCCATCTGTTCTAAGGAGGGTTTTTGGTTTCTGGGGCGCAGACCCAGAGTTTTTTTGAGGGATCGTGACCTCGTGGCTCGCTGTGTCTCTGGGAGCGGGGATCCTTGTTTTTTACTGGGGATCGTGGTTTTGGACGGGATGGCGGTGCATGTGGAGCTGTTGCGAGAGGTGAGAGGGAGTCCTTTGGAAAATTACAGAATCCCTCCCTGCCCTTGGAGGACTGGTATCTTCGGGATCTGGACATGTGCAGCGCGTGTGATCTTGTCCACAAGTGCAGCGCGTGTGATCTAGTACCTAGTCCACAACTCCAGGGGAACCGTCTCCTATGAGGCAAGGCCTTCGCCAAGAATCCAGATATGCAGCTGAGAGTCTGGCTGTTGCAACTGCGAGATAGGGCGGCTAGCGGATACGTGGCGCCCAAGAGGACAGGAGAGCAGCCGGGCAGGCCATGGCCGCCGAACCCTTCCGCCGCGACAAGGAGGCCGATGAGTGATGGGTTGGGGAATCAAGCTGTCTCAGCCGTGGAACGGGTCCACCTTCGCCTCTCTTGTAGGGGGCACGGGGCAGAGAGAAATAGCCAGAAAGAAATGAAATATGCAAGCTCATCAAAGTCGGCAGATTTTTTTGTCTGTATCGTCTTCTGGCTCCTAGACGGGCTTAGCCTGAAGGGTCCCTGCCAGGCTCAGTCCAGGGGGCCTATTTTCTTTTGTGCAGTTGCTCCAGTGGCAGTTCCGTCCTCCGTTCCTCGTGGGAGGTCTTCAGTTTGGTTCTTTTCGGGGTTCCACGGTCGTCATAGTTTCCTCGGATTCTTTGGGCACCTCGGGGTTCTATTCTGTGTCACGCTGTGCAATGTGATGCTGCACCGTGCTACGCCGCGATATGTGGTGCTTGTGCCGTATGATGCACGCAAGGCGAAAGTATTCGGTCCTGTGATGCAATATGCATTGCAGTGCAAACACATGCAAGGCGTTCCCGTGTGGTGCAAACTTATGCATCGCTATCCAGCTGCCTGCGGTAAGTCCCGCCGCGGCGCCCTCCCTGGCACCTTGGGTGGCGATCGACGGAGAGCCGCACCGCGTGTCGCTTCGTGTCCCGAGGCCGGGAACGTCGCAACGTGTGACATGCTATTCCGTGCGTTGACTGTAGCGGAAATGCTCACTCAGATGATGATGAGAGTGCGTGCACAGTAATGACGACACGGGGGCCGTACTGTGACACGAGTAGGGGGAAGGCAGCAGGAACGTCGCGTGCCTCGCCCGTCCCGTGCTCATAGCCTTCTGTTGTTCAGGGGTCGCTAGCGCCGCCCTCCGCCGCCGCGCCTGCCCGTGCATTCCCAAGTGGCTCGTGGACGCTGTGCTGGGGGCTGCGCGGGAGACACTGCAGACGGCGGGCACCGCGAGCCTCGTGTGGGCGGAGCAGACCGCGCAGTCGGCGCCCGACCGCAGCAAGTGGTGGATCGTCAAGGTGGTGGTCGGTGGCCTCGTCGGACGGGCAACGAGCTGCCGCGCGGTGGCTCTGTTCGGCTCGGGGCTTCGTCGGGCAGTGCATGGCCGATTCGAAGCCGATCGCACCAGGGCGCCTGATTCTGGTGTGGTACGGTGGCGGGGAGGCATACTGGCACGAGCGCCTCCTGCTCTGCGAGGTGCGGGAGACGACGTGGATCATCGTCACTCCTGACGGCGATGTCTATCCAGAGGACATTCGGGCTCTCGGAGGCAGGCCGTGTCTGCAAGGGTCCGTGCCGCCGGCGATCCCGGCCGACGCCATGCTGTACAGATTCCCGCCACTCGGCCAGCTGCACACGGCGGCGGAGTGGCGGCAGATCTTCGACGACGGGATTGCGGCCGCCCAGCTGGAGAGGGCTGGGCTGGGCATCGACGACGACGCGGCTGATGCTGAGTCTGGTGCTGTGCGTGATCGGGTTGGTCAGCATGGCTGGACCGCCGACACGGGCCTGCCGGCTGGACCTCCGCCCGCCGCCGCCGGCGCTGGGGCCGGGGTACTGGTGGCGGACGTGGGCGCAGCCCCCGTGGCCGGCGTCCTGGCCGCACCGCCTGCTGTGCCGCTCGCCGCCGTGGGTGGAGGCGCTGCCATCCCGGGGGCTGGAGCTGCCGTGGGGGCCGTGGTGGCGCCCGGAGGTGGCCTCGCCCCTGGCATGCAGTGGATCGTGGTGGCCAACGACGGCCACCCGGGGGCGCCCTCCATCGGCACCGACTGGAGCGTGGACGCCAATGCCGTCGTCATGGGCAAGTTCGCGCTGGTCAAGCTCGGATCTGCCAGCCTCGTGCTGGAGAGCATCACGGTCGGAAGCAAGAAGCATGTGCTGGTCTCGAGGAAGGGCGAAGTCGAGCAGGCGGTGGTCCGAGCTTCGGGAGCAGGCCTGCCAGGAGCTGGTCTCGGACCTCAGGCGATGGGAGACGGGACGGCGGCTGCAGCGCCGCTCGAGTCCTCTGACGCACGGGTGCTGCCGGTGCTGTACGATCAGATGGGCCAGAGGTTCAGGGCCTACTCAAACGCCGTCGGGCTGCTGGAGGAGCCGCGATTCGACGACTTCCCTGTGGTCGGCCCGAGGACGACGCTCTGGCTGTGCAGGTTCATCAGAGACCAGGGGAGCGTGCCTCGCACCAGGACCGAGAAGTGGATGCGGGGCGCCCATGTGCCGGACAACGACAGGGTCAGGCACGAGCATGGCAGTCTCATGGAGATTCTTGAGACTGCGCTCACGTATGATCAGCTGGACGTGTCTGCCCTCGCGTCCTTCGAGATCCTGTCGAGAAGGGTTCAGCTGTTGGAGGAGGCTTACACGTCCAATCCGAAGGCGCCGCGGTTCGATGGGAGCGAGCACTTCCAAGGCCTCGGCAGGAAGGTCGCGGCCGTGGCGCCGCAGCTCACCTCGCACGTGGCGTTGCAGCTCCAGGGCGAGGCTGCGATCCAGAAGGAACGACGCAAGGCCCGCGAGGAGGCGGCCCTTGCGAAGAAGAGCTAGCCGCCCCGCGGTGTTTCGTTTTTCGTGGTCCTACTCGGGCCGCCGCCGAGTCGCTGTCCTCTGCGAGGTCTGCGGCGAGTTTTTGACCAAGGCATGGCAGACGGTCGGCAGCGTGACCTTCTACCCTTGCCTCGACATCATGACTGGGAAGGCCCTCGTAGCTCACTCAGTCGTGGAGTTCAGCAACGTATTTGTCGCCGCGCTTGGATCGACAGGCGCGCCGACGAGGTTATTTGGGTCTCAACGAGCTCGGGGGCGTCGGTGACAAGTCGCCCAGCGGTCCAGGTGGTGAGCAGGCGCGCGCTGCTGCTGCCTTGGCCCGGGAAGCGGCTGAAGCTGTGCCCTTGCCCAGGGAGAGACCCGCCCCGCAAGAAGCCCTGGCGGCGCTTCTGCGTGCAGACACCCGCTATGGTGACAGCGAGTGTGCCGGGAACATTGCACCGTTTGGCTCGGCTTCAGTATCTCTGCCGAGCCGCGACCTGCGCGGGGTGGACATCTACAACGTCCTGCCCTCGGACGCGTCGCACAAGCTCAAGCGGTTTAGCGACACCATCCTTCTCAGTGACGAGGAGTATGCACTGCGTATCAAGAGCGAGGGACTGCCCAACCTTTACTTTGACCCAGTGCTGGAGGCACAGCCTGCGAAGTGGGAGGGTTTTTGTCGGGATCTGCGTGGCAGGGGACTGGTGCGCTGGACTCGAACCTACAAAGAAGGTGGGCTTGTTCTTTGTTCGCAAAAAGAGTGGTGAATTACGACTTATATGCGATGCGCGAAGGACCAACGTACGATTTTACATCCCAGACTCAATGCAGCTTGCTACTGGCGACTCGCTCAGCCGTCTTGAGTGCGCCTCTGACCAGGCCATCTTCTCGGCCAGCTTCGACATCAAAGATTACTTCCACGAGCTCAGGATCGATGAGGAGTTATCTCAGTATTTTGCTCTACCAGCGGTCCGTGCCTCGGCGGTGGGAGTGGGGAGCATCAATGGTGTCAAGGTTGGTCCAAGTGAGCTCATCTACCCGGCTCTGCAGTCACTACCGATGGGGTTTTCGTGGGCAATGTGGGCGGCCCAACTTGTCCATGAGGAGCTTCTGCGGCGGGCTGGTCTTCCTCCAGCTCGCCTTCTTCGCGACGGCACACCTCCTCCTTCGTTTGAGGGGGGGCCCGTTCAGCTGGCATGCGTCGACAACTTCGGGGTCATCGGCTGTGACAAGGCCGAAGTTGAGGCCACGCGCCGTCAGGCTCTCGAAGGCATTCGGCAGGCAGGCTTCCACGTGCATGAGATCGAGCAGGTCAGCACCTCTTTGGACATCGTGGGAGTGCACCTCGATGGAGACAAGAAGGTGGTCAGGCTGTCCTCTGCCAGGGCGTGGCGACTGTGCGCTGGGCTACATGCCCTTGTACGACGCGGGCGCTGCACTGGGAGGGAGATGCGAGCCATGCTTGGGCACCTATGCTTTGCTTTCTTGCTTCGGCGCCCTTGCCTATCCTGCATCGCGGCCTCCTTCGCCTTTGCCGAGGCGGCCGGGGGGGGGCCAAAGAACCTCTGGCCGAGCGTCAAGAGGGAGCTCCTCATCGCCGCCGCCATCCTGCCGCTGGTCTACGCCGACCTCGGGGCTGGCTGGCTCGACCAGGTGGTTGCGACGGATGCTTGCGATGCTGGTCTGGGCGTCTGTGCGGCAGAGTGGGACTCCCAAGATATACGGATCACTGGCAGCTACGACGAGCGCTGGAGGTTCAAGAAGGACCCGCTACGCAAGCACCGTGAAGTCGCCTTGGCGGGGTACGACCACGCCGACCCGCCGATCGACAGAGACGGCAACCTCGTGGCGGGCGTCAGCGAGGGCACCTGGCTTGCCATCGGGAACTTTCCCGACATTCCGCCTACCTCGGTCAGAGGCTCGAGGTGGGCCGTGGTCGCTAAGCGTCCCTGCGGCAGCCGCGAGGGGGCGATCCACGTCAAGGAGGCGAGAGGCGCCAAGCTCGGCCTCAAGCACGTGGTTCGGTGTGGGCGCTGGCGGCACAGCAAGGTGCTCATGCGGGTGGACAATATGTCACTCGCGCTGGCCATGCAAAAGGGCCGCTGTCGCGATCCAGCCCTCCTCGGCCAGCTTCGTCAGATGGCCGCGCTGCAGCTCGCCACTGGGCTGCGGGTGCAGTGCCGCTGGATCCCGTCGGAGGTCAATCCTGCTGATCGGCCTTCGCGGCTTTGGGAACCTGCGGCTGCTGCTCTGGGCCATGCATGGCGCCCTCCTCCTGGGCTCCCTCGTCCTGATGGCGGGCGTGGTATCGAGGGCGCCTGCAGCGAAACGCAGAGTGACGACAGGCATTGCGACGCGCAACGTGGCGCAGCGGATCGAGGCGGTGCCGGTGATGCATCTGGGTCGTCCCGACCTTCGAGTGCGCGGAGCTGTGCCTCTGGAGGACGGCCAGCCGCCACAGGCCGCAGGGTCAGGACCATCCGAGCAGGCGATCCTGGCCCGGCCCCCGGCGATGCGAGCCGTGCCTCGAGGCGGCTCGCGGAGATCGCGAGTCACAACCTCGACAAGGCTGGCTGCCGCCCGGCGGTCGGCCAGCAGCGGAGGCCTCTCCTACCTCGAGAGCATCGCGGTGAAGCCCGTCCAGATCGAGGGTTACCGCAGACGGATCGAGGAGTTCTACGAGTACGCCCGCCGCCAGGGCTTGAACGTCAGCACCTTGGACTCGCTGGAGACGGCCCTCCTGGACTGGGCGGGCGAGGCGTATCTCGAGGGCAGGAAGAAGCACGATGGCGAGAAGCTGAAGGCTGCTGTGCTCCACTATTACCCGAACCTGAAGCGGCCCAACACCAAGCCGCTGGCCAGGTTCGAGAGATGCTTGAAGGCCTGGGGACGCCGGAGGCCCGCGCTGGGCCGTCTGCCACCCCCGTGCCCGACGATCTGTGGCCTGGCTGTGGCTCTCCACCTCCTGGGCCGCACGGACATGGCTGTAGCCGTGCTGGTCGCGCTGAGCGCCTACTTGCGGCCGGGGGAATTGTGTGGGCTCCGCGTTCGGGACGTCGTCCCACCCGCGCTTGGCTACGGACCAGAGTACCAGAAGTGGTCGCTGATCCTGGGGCCTTCGGACAGCATCGGAGGCCCCACCAAGACGGGCGTCTACGACGACAATGTGACGATGGACCACGAGAACCTGCAGTTCCTCGACCACTTCTTCGAGCTGTACCGCCAGGGAAATGGGTCGAACGACCCGCTGTGGGGCTTCGCGCAGGCGGAGTTCGGGGCCATGATCGCGAAGGCGCTGAAGGTGTGCCAGCTCGAGGGCCTGGGGATCGCCCCCTACAGCCTTCGGCACGCGGGCCCGTCGTGGGACGTCATCGCGGGCAGGAGGTCGCAGCTGGAGGTCCAGCGTCGCGGGCGCTGGGCCAGCATGAGCTCTCTCATCAGGTACGAGAAGTCCAGCAAGGTCAACTCCCTGCTCGTGAACCTGGACGACAGCGTCCAGGAGTACCTCAGGCTCTGCACGGCGCACCTAGGAGACATCCTCCTCGGCGCGGTGAGCGCGCCCCGACCGCCTGGCTGGAGCGAGGCGACATCTTCCTCGACATCTTCGCTGGTTCCGAGGGAGTCGGCAAGGCGGTGGCAAGGTGTGGCATCTCGTCGCTAGAAGTGGAGCTCGAGCTGGGGATCGACATTTTTGCGTCTGGAGTGATGAAAACACTCCTGAACTTGATCCGCTCGGGCCGCGTGCAAGGGATATTCGTGGCTGCGCCATGCCGCTCATTCAGTATAGCCAGAAGAGCACCTCCCTCCTCACCTATGCCGAGTGCTGTTCGTTCTCCTGAGTGTATTTGGGGCTTTTCCAACCTCTCGGATCTAGATAAACACGTCTGTCTCGAAGGCAACCGGCTCGCTAAAGCAACATGCAAACTCGTTCGGCAAGCTATGCGATACGGAGTACCGTTCATGATCGAGCACCCTGCCTCTTCTATGCTCTGGCTTGTCCCGTTTTTGAAGCACATCGCTGAATCCAAGTTCGCTAAGTCTGTTGTGTTCGACCAGTGCCAGTTTGGGGCGGACTTCAGGAAGTGGACCGCCATCTTGATGTCCTCTGATCTTGACGACTCTTTCCTGAACCAAAGATGTGTGGGCAAATCAGGTATATGCTCTAGGTCAGGAAAACCCCACGAACATCTTGAAGGAAAAGATATCTCTGGATGGAAGACCGACCGTGCTAAACATTACCCTCCTCGTCTGTGCACTGCTATCGCCAGCACCTTCAGATCCCTGTGGGCCCAGAAGCACGTTGCAGGTTCGATGGCACGGACGACCGACCATCCAGGAACGGCCTCTCCCTCCCGTGCCCGCCCAAGGCCAAAACATCTCTGAGATTCGGGACCTCTTGATGGTGATTGGGGACATAGAGCAGTAGAATTCTATGCTGATTGGTGGCAAGCCTGTGATGTATCGCTTTGGGATATCATTCTATTGGCCGAGTAAATCGTCATGAGAGTGCGTGCACAGTAATGACGACACGGGGGCCGTACTGTGACACGAGTAGGGGGAAGGCAGCAGGAGCGTCGCGTTCCTCGCCCGTCCCGTGCTCATAGCCTTCTGTTGTTCCCGACCCGACCCGCCCTGGGACATAGAGCAGTATAATTCTATGCTGACTGGTGGCAAGCCTGTGATGTATCGCTTTGGGATATCATTCTATTGGCCGAGTAAATCGTCATGTTTATGCTGATGATGATTATGAGGATGAGGATGATGATGCTGATGATGATGATGATGCTGATGGGGAACGTGATGATGTTACTGATACTTTCAGATGATGCCGATGGTGATGATGCAGCAGATGATGCTGAGAACGATGATGATGATGCTGATGCTGATGCTGATACTGATGATGATGACGATGCTGATGATACTGGTGATGCTGATGCTGATGATGATGATGCTGATGGTGGTGGTGGTGGTGATGCTGCGGCTGCTGCTGCTGCCGATGATGATGATGATGATGATGCTGCTGCTGCTGATGATGATGGTACTTACGACGATGATGATGCTGCTGCTGATGATGATGACGATGGTGATCATGATACTGATGCTGATGCCGATGATGATGCCAATGGTGCTGATCATGATGCTGCTGATGCCGACGATTGTGATGATGACGATGCTGATGATGATGATGATGATGATGCTGATGACGATGATGATGAGTATGATGAGGATACTGAATATTATGATTATGAGGCTGATGCTGCTGATGACGATGATGATGCTGATGACGATGAGTATGATGACGATGATGATGATGATGATGATGATGATGCTGATGATGATGATGACGATGATGCTGCTTCTGCTGATGATGCTGATGATGACGATGACGCTGATGATGATGCAGATGATGCTGATGACGATGATGATGCTGATAAAGATGGTTATGATGATCTGATGATGTTGATGTTGATGCTACTGCTGCTGCTGCTGATGATGATGATGATGCTGAGGATGATGATGATCATGATGCTGCTGCTGTTGCTGCTGCTGATGATGGTGGTGGTGGTGATGATGATGGTGGTGATGGTGATGGTGATGGTGATGGTGCTGGTGATGGTGATGGTGATGGTGGTGATGATGATGATGGGGATGAGGATGATGATGAGGATGATGATGATGAGGTGATGATGATGATGATGGTGATAATGATGATAATGATGATGATGATGCTGATGATGCTAATGATGCTGATGATGCTGATGATGATGCTGATGATGCTGATGATGATGATGATGATGATGATGATGATGATGATGATGATGATGATGGAGGAGGAGGAGGAGGAGGAGGAGGAGGATGGAGGAGGAGGAGGAGGAGGAGGAGGAGGAGGAGGAGGAGGACGAGGAGAAGGAGTTTGATGACAACATGCGGCGGCACACTGTATCGGACGAGTGGGATCAGCACCAGGATTTTGGTGATAGTGGCGACGATATTGATGCTGCTGCTGAGGATTGCCGGGACCGACTTACGGTAGGTGGCGGAGGTATGCAGGCTAGATCTTGAACACGCGCTCCCGTTGGCTTCCTCCGTCGCTGCATTGGGTCAACATGTTTTGGCTTTTCCTTGCGCCTCCGCCGCGCGCGGCTTCGTTGCAGGGCCGCGGGCCGCCTTGCTGGCTGCTGGGCCAGGCTGCCGATTAAACACTATCTCCAGTCATGCCCCACGGATGCCCAAACTGCACCCAAACTTTGTAGTTCGAGAGCAGTGCTGACAGAGGGATCGAGGGATGCGTGGATCGTCAGCTGGTATTTTGTCGGGGAGTGGGGCGGGGGGTTGGGGCCCGAACTGCTTTCGATTCTGTTTTGGCTCGGGGCTGGCCTCTGATCAGCTGCTCTGGACCCTTGTGCGCCCAGCAATGCCGTGTGTGCGTCTGGTTCCAGTTTTCAAAGAGACACGGTGACAGAAACAGTAAAACGGATCTATAGCGCGCAGGCAGACCGCTAAGAAATTGGTTGGGCCGCGGGCACTGCGGAGGGGTTTCGTTGGGCGGGTGCTCTACACTGTAGCGGGGCAGTCAATGTAGGAACGATGTCCTCCCCATCGCTGCATACAGCGAGGAGGTGGAGGGGGAGGGAGAGGAGGTCTACGCAGTAGTAGTGACACCTTCGCTGCGTAGATGTTAAAGTCTCAACGCTTCGCGTATTCACACTAGTTGGTGGCGCCACTCCATGCACTAGTTCCATGGCCAGTGAGTTCTTCCTGGCCCAGCTGGTGTCAGCGTTCCCAGTGATGGTCTTCCTGGCCACATCCTGGTACCGCCCCCGCGCCATTTTGGCTGCGCACCAACCTTGGTTGGTTAATTCTGCATGCGCGCGCTCCTGGGCCTGGTTCCTGGCAGCTGCAGCCCGCACCCCCTCGCGCTGACTGGCCCGCTTAGGTGCTGCTTAGGCCGCCGGCTCGTCGGCGTTAGGCAATTAGGCTCGCGCGTGGCCCGCTCGAGCCCTACTCGCCGTCGGAGAGCTCGCCTGCGGTCGCGACAAAAAGTATTCACACTAGTCCATCCAGACACGATGCCCAGAGAAGCTGCCTTGAACCGGGGAGCGTGCCATGATTTGGAGATATCCGGGGGTTGAGTTGGCCAGAAGCCCCCTGGATGCCTCCTTGGGCCTCCTGGGGTGTCTCTGACAGGGCCTCTCGGAGGCATCTTGGGGCGTCTTGAGGGCCTCTTGCTGGCTCTTGGGGAGCATCTTGTAGCGTCATGGGTGCTCTTGGAGTCCTCTTGAGGCCATTTTGCAAACGTTTGGGGCTTCTTGGGGCCTTCTTGGGGCCCTCTGGGGAGGCATTCTTGGGATCATCTTGGAGGACATCGATCAAAAACAGGGGGGGTCCTTGGTTAGCGCCACCCCTCTGGAAGCCCAAACGTCGAATCTTGGGGTTTCTTGGGGCGCTCTTGGGGCGCTCTTGGGCGCCCTTGGGGCCGTCTTGGAGCCCGCTTGGGCCTCTCTTGGATCTCCCGTGGGCCCTCTTGGAGCCAGTTTGAGGCGTCCTAGGGAGCTCCCAAGGCCACTCGGACCCATCTTGTAGCTGCCTTGGGACCGCTTGGAGTATGTTGGAAACCATCTTGAGCAATCTCGCGGTATCTTGTGCCATTTTGGAGGCCATTTTGGGCCATCTGAGGCCCTCTTGTAGACATCTTGGGGTATATTGGGCCCTCTGACCGCTTGCGGAGCTCCCCGTCCAGACGGAGTAAACCCCTCCCCGAAGGGAAGAAGGGGGTTGGAAGAGAAAGTGCCCTATATTACCCACGTCCTAAAGGGCTGGTGGGGCTCTGAGAGCGGTCCGTGTCAGGGCTACCTCCTAGTAGGATGTGGGAATCCGCAGTCCAGCAGAGAGGCAATACCTTCTGCGCGAAGGCAGTTTTCTTCTCCTTGGCCCTCAAGGTTCCTTGCGCTGTGACATTTTCTACAACGTGTGGGCGCGTATCCTTTTTTTGGGTCGTTTCATGCCGCCTTCGTGCTTTGGAGCCAGAAATACTTGCACTTGTCGATGCGAGAACTAGCGGGGGTGGTTCATTCCTTGTCCAGGTCGATTCAGTGACGCTTTGGCCGTCCGTGCGAATGTGTCGTGACGTGGCGCCGCAAGCCCCTCCGTGGCTGTGGCACTGCTTCAGATCTGGCGGTCTCATCGTTTGCCCACCGTCGATTCGTCCATCACCCACCGGTTCTCTCAGTACCGTTTGGTGCTCTGCTGTGGGAACCAGTCATGCCATCACGTGGGAAAGCTCAAGTGCTGGTGCTGGTCGTGCAGCGCCCGTCGCACCGAAGGCTCCTTGCTGGTGCTCCGTGCAGCTCCCCCCGCGCACGCTGGGCTCGTCCGATCGCGGCGGCCACCCACCCCAGCAGGACGAGGAGGAGGAGGAGGAGGAGGAGGAGGAGGAGGAGGCAAAGCACAAAAACTGAAGGCTCCTTGCCGTGGAGAGGTCGCCCCGAGTTCTCCCCAGCCCTTGCTTTGCGCGCGTGCAGCCATCAGGCCGTCCTGGCCGCCGTGCTCTCAGACGGCCTGGCCCTCGCCGCCGCGTCCGAGGAGCTGCGGGCCGACAGGGAGGCTGCTCTGCTTGTGGGGGGAGCGCGTGTGTGTGTGTGTGTGTGTGTGTGTGTATGTGATGTGTGTGTGTGTGTGTGTGTTTGTGCAGCCAGCTGGTGTTTGTGCAGCCAGCTGGAGACTGTTCTTTTTAAGGGTCCAGCGATAACCCGGGTTATCGGGCTTGCCCCCCCACCCCCCAAGGATTACCTAACCTTGCCGGTTGTGCAGGTCCGAGGTGGGGGGGGCGCGGGCATATGCAGAGCTGCCCACAGCGCGAAGGTTAGTTTATCGGCCGGACCCCTCCTCCGCCCCCCCCCTCCGGGATAACCTGGGTTATCGCCCATTCCAAGAAAAACGGTCTCCTGGAGTTCAGTCGGGCCTGTCCTTCTACAGGAGGAATAAGCAAAAGTAGTCAAAAAATAGTCAGCGGACGATTTTTTGGTCCAGAATCCGCCTGTAGGGGGACATGCCCGACCTAAAGCTGGA